AACTGTTTTTTCCTTCACAGATGTTGCTCGGCCTGCTGAGCTTTTCCAGCAATTTTGTCCCTGTGCCTGATTTACAGCATCCGCAGTTCTTTCGGTTTTTATTCAGGATTCAGTGCTGCTTTTTAGATGAGACATGAGCAATGTTGCTCATGTCTTCCTTGATTGATCAAGGATTTTCCATCCTTGATTGGATGGAAAAGGTCCAATGGCTGCTCTTTCAATGGAGAGCCAGGAAGCTCTCGTTGGTGTCCTGGCCCACATTAACCCCTCAGCCAATGTTGCTAAAACAGATGATCTGATTGTTGTTGGCTTATCGTGTCAGGGAGCTGGCTGTGTACAAATTGCCCATCTAGTTTCTGACAGTACAAACAGTGACTATACATTGGCTGTAAAAAGCTTGGGGTCAGCCTGATGGTCTAAAAGGTGCTGGGGGAACTGCGAGTACAGTATTTCTTTCTTCCCCAATCCTGTTGGGAGCTGTTGTAAGGCATCAGCTTGTATGAATTGGTTTTGAGTGGCGAGACTCATTCAAAGAACACAGGTCTTGATGTTGAAAGGTCGTAGTTGTGCTTTCTGGTTCTGAGGTCAGAATTAGCTTTCTGTTATGAGGACAGTTTATCCCCAGATAAGGGCAGTCCTCAGGTTGTGAATGGGTTTTGTTTGTAAGTCAATTTGTTCACAAGTCAGAACACAATGCAGGACAATATAAAGGAGCTGCTCATTAATAAAGGAAATGTCCATACTTCAGATACTCAAAATGACACCCCTATATGGGACCGCATGCGTAAATATGAACATTCGTATGTTAGATTTTCCTAAAGTGGGGACTCTGTGTAGTTAGATATAGGATTTTCCGAAAGAAGATGGTTTAAAACTGGTGTGAAAATACTTGGTCAAAGAGCTATAGGCTTTAAGGAGGGTCTTTGATGGATTGGTGAACCAAATAGCCTCCAGTCTTCTGCACCGTAAAGACTTTAAGGAAATTAGGAAGGGATTCCTAGAGTTTACGGTTTCAATAATTGGCATGATGCATTTAAGGGTGGAGCAAAGGGAATGGGAGATGAATAAAGTTGCTGGAATAGTCACTGAAGGGGGCAATAGGAACAGAGAGAGAGAGAGAGAGACAGACAACCTGGTCCAATGTCCAGCGATGAACAGAGATATGGAAGGAAGCTGAAAACCATGGTTTGGGATCAGTCAAAGAACGCTGGACCCATTGGCCAAACCCAACCAAAACACGGAGATATCAGACACCGAATTTCCCAGCACCATCGGTGTTATATCTACTCCCAGACACTCCCAGAATTTGGGAACGTGTGGAAATTCAATGGCAGCATTCTATGGCAGATGGTCAATTTGGGACATTCAGTGCCCCCATGGAAACATATGGATAGAATTGTTTGAAATTAGCTCTGTAGCAGTGTCGAACGAACCTGGGCATGTTGGCTAAGCACCAAAGTGAGAAACGCTATACTAATGGTTACTGGACCAATAATCCAGAGGCTCAGACCCTGCAGCATGGGTTCAAACCTGGTCACAGTCGCTGGTGGGATTTAAACTCAATTAATAAATCTGGAAATTAAAAACTCAGCAACGATGATTACAAAATTATCAGTGATTCCTGTTTAAGAAAATGTCTGGTTGACTCAGGGTAAAGGAAATCTGCTATCCTTACCCAGTCTGGCCTACATGTGACTCCAGACACACAATAATGTGGTTGACTCTGAAATGCTCAAGTGAGCCAAACAGACCAAGTGCAATTAAGGATGGGCAACACAGGATGGTCTCGTCAGCGATGCCCACTGAAAGAGAAAAGGTACTTGACCATGTACGAGTACTTCTGAACTTAATGACCAAGCAGAGTTGTCGGGATTTTAAATCCAGCGACAAGCAGCTTCATACCCGTGGAAGGAGACAGATTTTTTCTTCTTAGTGAAGAGCCATTTTTTTTCTCTTCTTGCGTACTCCAGGTTGATTCCCGACATGTCTCCTTTGCATCTGATCTGCTCCTGGCTGGGATTCTGGAGCCGGCTGAGCTCATCAGACTGCCAGATTGTTCTGAAGACGATTTCAGTCATTTTTCAATGGTAGCTTCCCCTGGTATCGATGGCAGAACTGGGGGCACAAAGTGGCTGATGGGATAGTTGTGGGAGGGATAGTCACCAACACGTTGGGATAGACTTGGCAGAAGAAGAGATCAGCTGAATTTAGTCAGTGGGGTACACGGCCTCACATTTTCTGCATTTCCCCTGACAGAGCCTGTCCCCATTGACAGCACAAGAGAACCCCTCTGGCCCAGCAGGAGAAATGATACAAAGAGCAATAGATCAGAAGTTAATCTCATTAATCATAAAAAGAACACAGCGAATCATGTCTTATAAGCAACTGAGAGTACAGGAAGTGAGGCATCACCATAGTAACACAGGAAATGAGGTGTCACAATGGTATAAAGAACACAGGAAATGAGGTGTCACAGTGGAGTAAAGAACACAGGAAATGAGGTGTCACGACGGTGTAAAGACACAGGAAATGAAATGTCACAATGGTGTAAGAACACAGGAAATGAGGTGTCACGCTGGTGTAAAGAACACAGGAAATGAGGTGTCACAATGGCATAAGAACACAGGAAATGAGGTGTCACAATGGTGTAAAGAACACAGGAAATGAGGTGTCACAATGGCGTAAAGAACACAGGAAATGAGGTGTCACAATGGCGTAAGAACCCAGGAAATGAGGTGTCACAATGGCGTAAGAACACAGGAAATGAGGTGTCACAATGGTGTAAAGAACACAGGAAATGAGGTGTCACAACACTAAAGGAAAAAAGAAATGATGTCCTTAGAATGGACAGATCTCCAGTTTGTAATGAACAGTCTGCCTTTGTTAGTCCTGGCCATTGTCCAGTACCAGTCAGATTCTTATCTAGTTTGTGATCCTTGGTATGGTTAGTAAGTTTGCAGATGACACCAAAGTTGGTAATGTAGTAGACAGCAAGAAGGTTACCTCAGAATACAATGTGACCTTGGTCAATTAGACCAATGGGCCAAAGAGTGGCAGATGGAGTTTAGTTTAGATAAAAGTGAGGTGCTGCATTTTGGAAAGGCAAATCAGGGCAGGATATATACACTTAATGGTGAGGTCCTGGAGAGTGTTGTCAAATAAAGAGACCTTGGGTGCAGGTTCATAGTTCCTGGAAGGTGGAATCACAGGTAGGCGGAGTAGTGAAGAAGGCGTTTGGTAGCTTGCTTTTATTGGTTGGTGCATTGAGTATAGGATTTGGGAAGTCATGTTGCATCTGTACAGGGCATTGGTTAGGCCATTTTTGGAATACTGCATTCAGTTCCTGTCTCCCTGCTATAATAAAATGTTGTGAAACTTGAAAGGGTTCAGAAAAGATTTATGAGAATGTTGCTGGGGTTGGAGGGTTTGAGTTATAGGGAGAGGCTGAATAGACTGGCGTATTTTCCCTGGAGTGTCGGAGGCTGAGGGGTGACCTGATAGAGGTTTATAAAATCATAAGGGGCATAGATAAAGTGAATAGCAAAGGTCTTTTCCAGTTGTCCACAGCCCAAGCTACAAATTTTTGCTAAGACCTTAAAAAAAGTTTTTTCTCTCAGGTGGGGGAGTTGAAAACCAGGGGCCATATTTTTAAGGTGCGAGGAGAAAGATTTAAAAAGGAAATGAGGGGCAATTTTTTTTAAACAGGGAGTGGTTAGTGTGTGGAATGAACTGCCAGAGGAAGTGGTGGAGGCAAGCATAGTTACAACATTTAAGGGACTTTTGGATAAGTTCCTGAATAGGAAAGGTTTTGAGAGATATGGGCCAAACGCAGGCAGATGGTTCGAGTTTAATTTGGGAACATAGTCGGCATGGACTAGTTGGACCGAAGGGTCTGTTTCCATGCTGTATGTCCTTATGACACTATGACATTTGGACAGATGTATGAGTAGGAAAAGTTGAGAGAGATATGGGCCAAACATAGGCAAATGGGACTAGTTTAGTTTAGGAAACTTGGTTGGCGTAGACGAGTTGGACTGATGGGTCTGTTTCCATGCTGTATTGACTCTACGACTTTAAATTACTACAGGAAACTTCATGACCACCACTTTGGTCATGACAATTCTGGACAAGGTGTTTACAAAATGGAGTTTGTCAGAAACTATTAGTACAGACAATGGACCACGTCAGTGCACAGAGTTCCTCGTTTGCAATAGAATTCACCACTGTCCCATACAACCCCTGATTGAATAGTGGCGTCAAACTTTTCCACAGTGCACTAAAGGACAGTTTGAAAGCTAGTCTGTCCAAGGGTAAAATGTTTGTTCCTACTTCCCACAGATCGATCCGCCTTTTTCACATGGAAAGACATCAGTTGGAATTGTGATTCGTTAACTTTAGCAGGCCATGGACCATTCTTAAACCATCGAACGGGAATGTCAGAGCGAAAGCAGCAGAAATTGCTAAGCGACAAGATGCGGAGGGAACCACAACTTGAAGTTACAAATTGGGTCCCTGTCAACTGGTGAAATTGTGACCACAGACACATAATTCCCTCTGAGCCAAAGCAGGTCAACAATTGCTCAGTATCAACACTTAACTGTTGGATGAATATACAAAATAGAACAGGAAATATTTGGTAGCAACCAGATGAGGACATCTCAAGGGCACTCATTATAAGGATACATTGAGTGGCTGTAATGTTGATTCTACAGAACTATTGCCACTAGGCAATAGCACAGTGGTATTACTGCTGGACTGTTAATCCAGAGAGAGACCCAGGTAATGTCCTGGGGACTTAGGTTCAAATCCCACTAATGGCAGATAGTAGAAATTGAATTTGGAATTAAGGGTCTAAAAACGACCATGAATCTGTTGTTGATTGTCAGGGAAAACCTTTAGGGAAGGAAATCTGCAATACTTGCCTGGTCTGGTTTACATGTGACTCTAGACCCACAGCAATGTGGTAGACTCTTAACTGCCCTCTGGGTAATTTGGGATGGGCAATGAAAGCTGGCCCAGACAGTGATGCCCTCATCCTGTGAATGAATTTAAAAAACCCTCAAGTTGGCAGACATCAGTGCGGTCATATACAGTCTTGCTATTGGAAAGACTTTCTGTACTTAAAGAAAATGGACACACTAACTTGCGTAGGTATTCGGCTGTTCAATGTTTGATTACTTGACGTTAATAAATGTGCTTTGTGATATTAGTCAAGCCTGTAGTATAGTCAGAGAAACAGACACTAAACTGAACTCAATAATAAATGTATGAGAACAGATATTGTAATTGAACTCTTGCTTACACACACACAAACTGGGGTGTTATCTCTGCATATCTCCGAGGCACATCCTCAATGTGTTACAATTGTCACAAGACACAGCAAGAGAGAACTCAGGAGGTGATCGTGTCAGCACAGGGAACACAAGAAATGATATGCCTTTCATTTAATATTACCGATCCAATGAATTATCACTCAGACTTTACCATTCACTGACTATCATGAGAGGTCTCGAGAATGTAAATAGAGAGAAACTGTTCCCATTCATAAAAGGATCATGAATAAGAGGGCACTGATTTTAAGTGATTTGCAAACCTAGCAAATGCAGGAAAATTTTTTTCACACGGCGAGTCCTTCAGATCTGGAATGCACTGCCTGGGAGTATGGTGGAGGCACATTCAACTAAGCCATTCAAGAGGGTATTGGAAGATAATTTAAATAGAAACAAGGGGTATGGGAAAAGGCAGGTGAACAGCATGTTATAAAGCTCATTGGAGAGCTGGTGAAGACACTATAGGCTGAATGGCCTCCTTCTGCACCATAACCATTCTGCAATTCCGTGTTCATTCATTCGGCAACACTCCTGGACTCTCACGGGTTAAATGTAACCTGTTAACAGTCATCAACTGATTCCTCACCCATGAAATATTGGCTGTTCTAAGTTCTGCCACCTTTAATGAAAGATTTTCCTTATTCATTCACAGGATGAGGACAATGCTGGCTAGGCAGCATTTATTGTCCATCCCTAATTGCTCAGAGGGCCGTTAAGAGTCAACCACATCGCTGTGGGTCTGGTAAGGATGGCAATTTCTTTCCCTAAAAGGCATTAGTGAACCAAATGTGTTTTTCCAACAATCAACAATGGATTCATGGTCATCATTAGATTCTTAATTCCAGACATTTTATTGAATTCAAATTCCACCATCTGCCATGGCGGGATTCGAACCCATGTCCCCAAAATATTACCCGAGTCTCTGGATTAACAGTCCAGCAATAATACCACTAGGCCATTGCCTCCCCTTAATTTACTCAAAATGTTCATTCTTGTATTACTTTCCACAGATACTGCCAGACCAGCAGAGTATTTCTAGCATTTTCTGTTTTTTATTTCACATTCTCCAGTTGTTGGAGGGAATCCTGACGGACAGGATTTACATGTATTTGGAAAAGCAAGGACCAATTAGGGATAGTCAATGTGGCTTTGTCCATGGGAAATCATGTCTCACTAACTTGATTGAGTTTTTTGAAGAAGTAACAAGGAGGATTGATGGGAGCAGAGCAGTGGACACGATTTATATGGACTTCTGTAAGGCATTCGACAAGGTTCCTCATGGTAGACTGTTTAGCAAGATTAGATCACATGGAATAAGGGAGAACTAGCCATTTGGATTCAGAACTGGCTTGAATGTAGAAGATAGGAGGTGGTGGTGGTGAGGGTTGCTTTTCAGACTGGAGGCCTGTGACAGCAGTGTGCCACAAGGATTGGTGCTGGGTCCACTGCTTTTTGTCATCTATATAAATGATTTGGATTTGAACAAATGGTTAGTAAGTTTGCAAATGACACCAAAATTGGAGGTGTAGTGGACAGCGAAGAAAGTCATCTTAGAGTACAACTGGATCTTGATCAGATGGGCCAATGGGCCGAGGAGCAGCAGATGGAATTTAATTTAGATAAATGTGAGATGCTGCATTTTGGAAAGGCAAATCATGGCAGAACATATACATTTAATGTTAAGGTCTTGGGGAATGTTGCTGAACAAAGAAACCTTGGGGTGCAGGTTCATAGTTCCTTGAAAGTGGAGTCCCAGGTAGATAGGGTAGTAAAGAAGGTGTTTGGTACACTTGCCCTTATTAGTCAGTGCATTGAGTATAGGAGTTGGGAGGGTCATGTTGCAGCTGTACAGGCCACTATTGGAATACCGTGTGCAGTTCTGGTCTCCCTGCTATAGAAATGATGTTGTGAAACTTGAAAAGGTTCAGAAAAGATTTACAAGGATGTTGCCAGGGTTGGATGGTTTGAGCTAAAGGAGGAGGCTGAATAGACTGGGGCTATTTTCCCTAGAGCGAGGGATGCTGAGGGGTGACCTTATAGAAGTTTATAAAATCATGATGGGCATGGATAGGGTATATAGACAAGGTCTTTCCCCTGGGGTGAGAGAGCCCAAAACTAAAGAGAATGGGTTTAAAGTAAGAGGGTAAAGATTTAAAGAGACCTAAGGGGAAACGTTTTCACACAGAGGGTGGTGTGTGTATGGAATGAGCGGCCAGAGGAAGTGGTGAAGGTGGGTACAATTACAGCATTTAAAAGGCACCTGGATGAGTATATGAATGGGAACGGTTTTGAGGGATATGGGCCAAATGCTGGCAAATGGGACTAGATTTATATAGGATATTTAGTGGGTATGGATGAGTTGAACTGAAAGGTCTGTTTCCATGCTGTACAGCTCTATGACTCTATGACTCCATCTGCAGAATTTGCCCTGGCAACTCCTGCTCAATGTTGCTTTGTAATGCCACCAATTCAGTATCGACCTGTGAATTTCGTTCATTCAATAACACACATGCAATATCACCCTGGCTGTGTCATCTATAGAATATCATTCATTCAATTTCCCAAGCGCTAAACACCAATTCAATATCAAACCCTGTGAGAGGTTTGAATGATAAAAGAGATTGAGCATTTTAGGCCAATACTTGCTAGAGTTTTGAAGAATGAGAGGAGATCTAATCAAGGTATATAAGATGCTAAAAGAGACAAGCTAGATGTAGAGAGGGTGTTTCCTCTTATGAGGCAATCTAGAGTGACAGGATATCATTTTAGAATAATGGGTGGCAGATAATTTTAAAATAGAGATGATGAGGAATTACTTCTCTCAAAGGGTCGTGGAATTCAGAGTGTGGTGGATGTTGGGACATTGAATAAATTTAAGGAGGAGATAGTAAGGTTTGTAATTAGTAATGGATTGAAGGGTTAAGGAGAGCAGGAAGGAAGGTGGAATTTGAGGCCAAGCTGAGGTCAGTCATGATCATATGAAATGGCAGAGCAGGCTTGAGGGAGTGGAATGTCCTACTCCTGCTCCCAGTTCTTATATTCTTATTAGGAATATCCCCATTCATCCATTGGTACTCTGGCAGATATTAGCAAAACTAGAAGAAAAAATAGATTTCAATGTAGCATTATCATCTGTCTGGCTTCCCTTCTCTGGCTTACTGTGAACTCCCTCTCTTTCTTGGGCTCCTTCTCCAACTATCTGCTCACTCCTCTCCTCCCCTGCCCCAACATCAGCTTGAATCCCACCTTTTCCTAGCTGCTTTCAGTTCTGAAGAAGGGTCATTGGACTCAAAATGTGAACTCTTGTTTCTCTCTCTCTCTACAGATGCTGCCAGACCTGCTGAGTTTCTGCAGCAACTTCTGCTTTTGTTTGTTTCAAATCTCCAGCATCTGTAGTTCTTTTTTTAAGTAAATCGGGCTGTTGGAAGAGTATTTGGCTGGCATGCCTGTAAAGTTCCTGGTACAGTTCTATATTCAACCAGAGACATTTAGATTCACAATTGCACCAGATTCCCTCTGCTGGTACAAGTATATATCAAGCAGATAAAATTCACAGTGCATGAATTTCTCAGGCATCTCAGTGATATCCATACACACCAACTTGCCAGAAGAAATCAATTTGCCATGATGAGGGAGAGGATGAGAGCCAAGAAACGCTTTGTGTTCACTCCATGCTAGCCCAGGGCTACTGAGGCCAATAGATTTGTCCCAACACCATCCCAACTGAGATCAGTTAACCTAGCAGGGAGCAGGTTTCAAACATAGATTGTGCGCCCTGGTTTCAGTTCTGATTGAGCTACTGGGAAACTACACATCTAAATTCGACCTTGATTAGAGCAACTGAACTATACAAGAACAGGCCATTTGGCCCACATTGTCCATGTCAATGTTTGTGTTTCATGTGAGCCTCCTCCTACTGGCTCAGTGGTTAACACTGCTGCCTCACAGTGCCAGGGACCCAGGTTCAATTCCACCCTCAGGCCACTGTCTGTGTGAAGTTTGCATGTTCTCCCCATGTCTGTGTGGGTTTCCTCCAGGTTCCTCCCACAGTCCAAAGATGTGCAGTCTAGGTGGATTGGCCATGTTAAATTGCCCATAGTGTCCAGGGATGTGTAGATTAGGTGGGCTATAGGGGGATGGGTCTGGGTGGGATGCTGTGAGGGTCAGGGTAGACTTGTTGGGCCGAAGGGCCTGTTTCCACACTGTAGGTTTTCTATGATCTACATCACCCCTCTGGATCAGCATTACCTCCTATTCCTTGTATTTATCCAGTTTCACTTTAAATCCATCTATTCTCAACCACACCTAGTGGTAGCGAATTGCATATCCTCACCACTCTCTGCATTAACAAAGCTTCTGGATACTCTATATTTAAGGCCTTTGTCTTGGTCTGCTCCACAATTGATAGTGTCCTCTTTATATGTAGCTTATTGAAACTTTTGTAATATTGTCAGCCTCTATCAGGTCATCCCTTTTCTGGAGAAAAGTACCTGTCTTTTGATTTAAATAACTGTCTTTGGTAAGTTTCACAGTGAGTAATTTATTTTTATGAAAGCTATATTTTAAGTGAACATTACAGCTCCATCTGGCCACCATTCTAGTAATAAGGCATTTCACTAATATTTCAGGGCTTTTATTCATGTTAATTTATGACTGCCATGTTAGTTTATTGCTGTGATTTTTTTCCCTTTTTTTATGATTGTAATGTTAGCACTTCACTTGACGTTTCAGTGCGTAAATTATGACCTCCATTGATAACAGATTGAAGTGAAATTTGAACTTTTCTCTGAAATTGACAACAGTTTCCTGGAATCAATCCAAAGTGTTTTTCAGTTCCTAAGGGCCTACTTCTGTTCTTTTCTTTTCCCAATACTATTTTTCACTGGCAGAATGTTTCTGGGGAGTCATCCTCCAGCTTCAGTTAGGCAAATCTTCACAAACTCGATCTTCAAACTGAGTACAAGTTCTCAGATGCTTTCTGTGTGATGCATAATGAAGACAGCATTTTCCCTGGCTGAGCTGCAGGCTGGCTAACATCTATCTCTTTTTTTCTGCCCAGTGCCCACTTGGCCACAGATGATCCAAGATTAAGCTGCAATTGCTGCTATGTCTGTGCCTATTATGAAGGCAATGCTCTGTGTATATACTGTTTACACAGCTGCAAAAGGTGAAGTGTAATTTGCAGACGAGGGGAGGCGATGGCCTAGTGGTATCATTGCTGGATTGTTAATCCAGAGACCCAGGTAACGTTCTGGGGGCCTGGGTTTGAATCACCGCCATGGCAGATGGTGGAAATTGAATTCAATAAATGTCTGGAATTAAGAGTCTAATGATGACCTGAATCCATTGCTGATTGTTGGAAATCAAAACCCATCTGGTTCACTAATGTCCTTTATGGAAGGGAACTGCCGTCCTTACCTGGTCTGGTTTACATGTGACTCCAGATGCACAGCAATGTGGTTGACTCTTAACTGCCCTCTGGGCAATTAGGGATGGGCAATAAATGCTGCCTGGCCAGTGATGCCCTTATCCTGTGAATGAATAAAAACAATTCTGGGGTTTTAGGGAAGCCTGTAACCTGCCACCTCTACACCCCACTCTATGCAAATGAGAAGCATATTAGCCTTGTATCTAAATAGAAATGTTAACCAGCTATCTTTGATCACCACTGAAACAGAAGAACAGGTTCCAATATAGCTTTTTTAGCTTGCTATTGATAATGTTTATCTGAATCTGAGTTTCCTTGCGGACTTAGAAGCATCTATCACTGTCTCCAGCAGTAAACACTTGGTACTTGTCCTTTATTAACAGAATTTACATTTTCTTCTGATCTTTAGCCATTAAAATCTCCTATGTGCGCTGTCAGATAGGCTCCAGCCTTTTTATTTAACGTACATTGACAGATACAGTTGCAATATATTTCTGAAGACGGTTTCATTTTGTTTTTCAGTAATTTTAATTGTGGATTCAAATGGGAAAAGAATTGCTTTAAAGCAAAGGATTGCTGCCTATTATGAAAGCAACACTTTGTGTCTCTACACAGCTGCAGTAGTTGAAGTGTAGTTAGCAGATAAGCTGGCACCGAAGAGTTGAGTGCAAATGGATCTTTGGTTGGCAACAAGAAGCTGATCCGTTTGTGAACTGGTGACCAGTTATCAATAATAAAGCCCTTCTGTCTACTCTCTGATTAGTTTTCAGAAAGCTTACCAGGTAGGGAATGTGAACAAAATAGTGAGAAGCCTAAGAACTCCTGGGCTCAGGAGCTCACTTGGTTCCCTGCAGTTTAAGCCTGAAGAAAACCAGTTCATTTTTCCTCCAGAGGTTTCTGTAAGCTGTGACTTTTAATTAATAAGGCAGATATCTTTAATCAGTTTGAACCAGCCACCTTGCAAACTAGTGAAAGCTTTCAGAGCAGGAAGATTGAGAAGCTACACAAGAGTCATAAGAATCATCTCAGCAACCTGCATCAACAAGAACCACTGAACTGCCTTTCCAATCTTTGCCACTGCCCATAACACCCATGTTTTTTCCCCTGCCTGTGTACATTGTGTGTGTGTGTGTGTGTGTGTGTGAGCGAGAATGTATCTGAGTGTGTGTGTGCACATGTGTGTCTCTGAGTGTGTGAGTCACTCTGAGTGTGTGTGTGTGAGTATGTGTGTGTGCGTGTGTGAGTATGTGTGTGTGTGTGGGAGTTTTAATTGGTAAAGTTATATGTCAATGGTTCATAATGGTTTACCTGTAGCTGCAATCTAATTATTTGTAATAGAGATTTTCGTTAAGGGCAGAAACTTGGTCTGTGCTTTCTCTGAGCTGGCTCTGAACTGGGGAACCTTTGTGTGTTTTTTACAAACCTTAATTTTTGTGATGGTTCCGGGAATAGCAGGGCTTGATTTTCAGCCCTGTGAGGTAGAACACTATGATCACCTAATAAACCAAAAGATATGATCCTAAAATGTAATAATCCTATAACCTTCACACTTGTAACAAAGCGAAGGAATGAATAAAACCAGGGAATTTAGAAAGTTTTGGAACCTGCCATCAATTGAAGAGTTAAATTGTCAGGACTCTCAATGTAATTCATTCCACTCATTCAAAAGAAAATAACAAGATTTAACATCTGTACAAATTGTGACACTCTCAACGCAGGGAGGAGACATTGTCTTTGTGCTACCTCTTTGCTTGAGCATCCAGCTCTAGCCCCATTTCTCTGCCCCAGCCCTGTACCCATCAACGGGTACAGAGCACAATAAAATCTCAGTTACGACTGTGGGCTTCCACCTTCAGAAACAAGATGCAGATCAGGATCATCAGTCCCACAGGACCGGAATTTACTCTCGGTTTGTTGTCCGCAGTCGAAAGGCAAGGTTAAGGATCTTGATATTCACAGTGTAGGTTAGCATTGCTGAGGCAGTTTTCATTTTGAATCGTTACAGCCTGCTGTCCTTTTTTGATGAAGGATCTGTAAAAGAGGAATCATTATGAGTGAGTCTTGAGAGATTTTTTTTGTTGCGTGAGGGTATTAAGGTTGATGGCACGGAGGTGAGCAGATGGCTTTATGAAGATAGAACAGTACAGCACAGTACAGGCCCTTCAGCCCATGATGTTGTGCTGACCTATTATCCTACTAAGACCAAACTACCCTGCATACCCCACATTTTACTATGCTCCACATGCCTATCCAAGAGTCGCTTAAAAGTCTCTAATGTATCTGACTCCACTACCACTGCTGGCAGCGCATTCCACACACCCACCACTCAGGGCAGATGAAACAGACTTGTAGGGTTGATTGGCTTCTTACAGGGGGCATCTCAGGACATTCCATGGGTGGGACATCTTGTCAGCTCTTTGGTGTGGACTCAATGGGCCAAATGGCCTGGATTTTATGGCTGCACTTTGCCAGTTCTCCATTTTTCTTACAATCTCTTCCCCCTCTTTGCATCCCTTCCCCTTAGCCTTGTGTTGTTCATGTTGATCTCAGTAGAGAGGACACATTCTCTTCCTTTCACACCTTAATTTACACACATCTTAACATCTTTTTAAACTCTTTCACCACCATTAACAACCCCATTGTCTTTTGCGACAGAAACAGAAGTAGCTGGAGAAACTCAATAGGTCTGGCAGCATCTGTGGAGAGAGAAAGCAGAGTGAACATTTTGGGTCCAGTGACCCTTCTTCAGAATTTTTCTAGCATTTGCAGTTCTCAGGATTTTCTTTTCTGCCAAACCATCTTCCCCCTCGCTCTTCCTCCACCTCTGTTAAAAATATATGTAAGAAAAACTATTTTCCAACATCTTCTAGTTCTGAAGAAAAGTCACCCTGGTGGGCAGCACAGTGGCTCAGTGATTAGCACTGCTGCCTCACAGCGTCAGGGCCCTGGGTTTGATTCCAGCCTCCGGCAACTGTCTGCGTGGAGTTTGCACATTCTCCCTGTGTCTGCGTGGGTTTCCTCCCACAGTCCAAAGATGCACAGGTTAGGGTGGATTGGCCATTCATAGTGTCCAGCTATGTGCAGGCTAGGTGGATTAGCCATGAGGAAATGTGGCATTTTGGAGATGGGTGGGGTGGGGGGCAAATGGGTCTGGGTAGGATGCTCTTCAGAGGGTGTGTAGGACTTGATGGGCCAGACACCGTGCTTCCACACTGTAGGGATTGTGTGGTCTCTGCAGGTGCTGTGTTTCTCCAGCATTCTCCGGTGTTTGTTTCAAGAAAATTAAAACGTCGTTGTCACGATTTCCCATTGGGAAATATACGTCACAGTTAAAGGGAGATTTCAGCAAAATGATCAGGAAAGCTAATAGAATGTGACCATTTGTTGCCAAGGGGAATTAAATACGAAGGTAGTGGGAAAAATCAAAGCACTGTGGATGCTGGAAATCAGAAACAAAAACAGAAGTTGCTGGGAAAACTCAGCAGCTCTGGCAGCATCTGTGGAGAGAGAAAGCAGAGTTAAACTTTCGGTCCAGTGACCCATCTCCTGAAGAAACAGTAACTTTGCTTTCTCTCTCCACAGCTGTTGCCAGACCTGCTGAGTTTTCCCAGCAACTTCTGTTTTTGTCACCGAAGTAGAGAGGTCATGCCTAGTTATACAGGGCATTGGTGAGACTGTATCTGAAGTAAAGTGTGCAGCACAGAAACAGTCCCTTCGGTCCAACTTATCCATGCTGACTTTATTTAAAGAAGGATGTGGATGCACTGAAAGCAGTTCAGAGAAGGTTTACTGGATAATTACCTGAATTTGGTGGGTTGTCTTATGAGGAAACATTGGAGAGACTGGGCTTGTATCTGCTTGAGTTTAGAAGGGTCAGAGGGGGGTCTTGAGGACTTTTTGTGGAGAAGATGTTTTGTCTTGTGGGAGAATCTAGAACTGAGTAAGGGTCAGAGTTTAAAACCGAGATGGGGCGAATCATTTTCTCTCAGAAGGTCATGAGTTTTTAGAACTTTCTTCCTAAGCAGGTGATGGAAGCAAAGTCTTAGCTTAATAGGAATCTATCTCCCTCTGCCTTAAAAATATTCAAACAGTGGGTGAAGGCTTATTTGAGGTAAGCAGAAACGCAGGCTTTATAAGCAGATCAGCCAAGATGTTATTAAATTGCAGAGCAGGTTCAATAGCCTACACCTTCTGTACGTTAATCGTTACTCCGTGAACAATCACAGAGAATCCTGGAATAAGCAACTGAGTCCTGCTGGAACTATTTGAGAGGATGATGCTTCCCATAATGGTTATCTTACCTGTAAATGTGGGCGGGGCTCTGGCATTCCCAATGAGGTCACTTTGCAGCAAGGATTCCGCTAACCACCGTAAGGCTTCGGTGCAATACTCCATCTACAACAACAACAACAACTTCCATTCACAGAGCACCTTCGAGGCAGTAAAATTTCAGCCAGTGATTCTCAAAGTAGGTTTGACATGGAGTCTAACGGGCAGATTGGGTTCAGGTCATAGGTTTTAAGGAGCTGCTTAAAGAAGGCGAGGGAGGTGGCAATGAAGGAAAGAGTTGCACTTACGTGGTGCCTTTCCCAAAACCCGTTACAGCCAATGAAGTACTTTTGGAGCATCTTCATGGCTGCAATGTAGGGAATGTAATGGACAATTTGTGCACAGTAAGCTCCCATAAACCCTTCTGCCTTCTCACCAGGAGACCTAACACTCCTCCCCTCCCCCAATCCCGGGTGTATTGACCAATATTTCTCCTTCAGTCGACAGCTTCGAGAACCGATTGGCTGATCACAGACATGTTTAATTTTTGAGGGAATTTGCTGTGCACAAATTGGCTGCCAGGTTTCCTTGGTTACACCACTATCTATACTTCAGCTGTTGTGAGGCACCTCGGGACATTCTGAGTTTGTGAATGTTGCTATAGGAATGAAAGACCCTGTGCTTTGGCCAGGACACCCGGGGGATCTCAAACGCTTGATATCGCAGCACAGAGATGGCATCTGAGACAGAGCAGCACTCCCTCTGTACTACACTAGATTGTCAGCCTAGTTTGCTGTGCCCAGGCCCTGGGTTCGGACTCAGACTCAAAACTTTCTGACTGAAGATGAGAATTTGGTATGGCTTTCTTACCTATGGATGAAATACAAGAAAGAACTCGAAGTTTAATCCTTACTATTGGCTCCTACCTCTCAAGATTTCTCATTCCTCTATATTTTTGACAAACACATCGAGGGACCCCCCTCTGGGTGAGTCTAAAATTGCGAGTAGTTCCCATTTTCTACATCCATTCTGAATTGTCCAAACCCATCACACCCACCCTAGCAGTGGTGGTAGTGGCAATGCCACTGGACTAGTAATCCTGAATCCCAGGTTAATATTCTATTGACATGAGCTCAAATCTCATCATGGCAGATGGTGAAATTTGAATTCAATAAAGATCTTGTAGGGGAAAGCTAGTTTAATGGTGACTGTGTTACTGCTGACCAAAGATAGAAGTTGCTGGAAAAGCTCAGCAGGTCTGGCAGCATTTGTGAAGAAAAAAATCAGGGTTAACATTTCGGATCCGGTGATCCTTCCTCAGAACCTTCTGAGGTCAGAGGAAAATTCACCAGACCCGAAACGTTAACTCTGATTTTTTTCTTCACAGATGCTGCCCGACCTGCTGAGCTTTTCCAGCAACTTCTGTTTTTGTTCCTGATTTACAGCATCCACAGTTCTTTCGGTTTTTGTTTCGTGTAACTGCTGATGATTGTTGCAAAAACCCACCTAGTTCATTAATGTCCTTCAGGGAAGGAAAAGCTGCTGTCTTTACCCAGTATGACCTATATGTCACTCCAAACCCACAGCAATGTAGTTAACTTCGTTCCTGGCTTCTGGGCAATTAGGGGTGGGCAATAAATGCTGGCTGATGCACACATCTCTTGGACATTTGAAAAAAAGCTGTTCCAGGACGTCAATTCTCTATGACATTATCTTTCTCTCGGACTCCATGCCTTCTAAATTGAAATCTAGTTTCCCTATGGTTTTCTGTGGGGATCTTGTGGCCTGTTTGGTAGCTCCTTTGCCTCTGGGTCAGAACGTCCAGTTCTGAAAGCCAAGGAAGATACATTCAGAATGTGGCCAAACAGGTCCACTAGCAACTTGCAAATCCATGCAACATGTGCGGAAAGCAGGAAGTAAGAATGGGAGAGATTCCTGGTCTGCCATAAGAAATTGAAGCCTCTACCATCAATATCCATAATTCCGTGGCTGCAACATGCAGATAAAAGTGTATGTTGCCACAGCTTTGGGACTGTTTGGGGAATGTGGATCAGACCAATGCCAACAGCAGAGGGTTTAATGCCCTGTTCCAGCTGGCATGCGTTCAGGACCTGCCTCCATGCCCTACCGGTGGTGAAATTACAGTGCAATGGATCAAGTGTGCTCTCTCTCAGAGAACCCAAGAGTATTGTCTCGCTATCGAGGCAGAGCTCAGAGATTGCACAAACTGGGAACAGTCATGTTTCTAAGTCAGACACGTGCCCAGGTTTACACACACACACACACACAGACACACAGACAGAGACAGATATTGTTTAGAAGAGAAATTCAAGTTGAAAACAGAAGTGACTGTTCCAGTAGATTGTGTGTCTGTGTGTGTGTGTGTTTGTGTCTGTGTGCCTGCATCTGTGTGTGTGTCTGTGTGAGTGTGCGTGTGTGTCTGTGTGTGTGTAATTCAGTAACTGGAGAGGGCCCCTGGCTTTTTCCAGTGGGTTTGATTAAAAGAGGAATTTACTCTTTCCACACATTAAACTTACCTGTTTCTCAATTACCTTTAGCCGCCTGTCATGGTCCCTGATGTCAGTGATGTAGCTTAGAACACTGTCAACCCTAAAACACAAAATGAGACATCAGGCAGCAAGACACTGCAACTGACCCTCTCTCTGATCTGCTCAAAGGGGCATCTGTTACAGTCACATTCAATCTCTCCCTTACTGCCAACTGGCAATTCTGCCTCTTCTCTCACTCTCTCCTTGAAACTCTGCCTTTCCCTCACTCCCTACTGGGAATTCTGTCTCTTTCCTCACTCCCTCCTGCTCCACATATTATCAAGGTCCTCCCCGTTGCTCATTGTGGTTCACTGAACCATACTTTTGTTTTAATTTTTTGGAGATGTTATGGCACTCCTCCAGAGCAGGTGGGACTTGAACCTGGGCCTCCTCAATCAGAGATAGGGACATTGCCACTTTGTTACAAAAATCCAAAAACGGCAAATCCCAAAGTGCACCCAGAACTGAGAGGGAATTTCCAAATTTACTATCCCATACCCACCAAGAATTTCTCAAGGGTCTGAAATTGAAACCTCTCCTCCGGTAAGCTATCTGGAGAAGACTGAAAAATGCCAATCACTCTTCCCAAATGTACAGATATGTACAGGCCCTCATTAGGCCTCTATTGGAGTTCGCTGTATCCTGGCAGGGATGTGTCTGGGCCCTGTTGTAATTTTAATCCTGAGATCTCAACAAAGCTTTCAAGGTTGACAGTTCCGTTAAAAGAGAATCATTAATCTTGTAGAGAGGGCAGTGAGACATACATAATGAAACTCTAAAATTTATTTAGGCCATTTTTGGCAAGATTGAGGCAGTTCAGAATAAGAAAAATGTATTTATTGAAGTGATGTAGTTGTGGTGATTCACTGAGTGATATCAGGAATGAAAGGTCCAGGTTACAGGATAATGTTAAAGGACTTGGGTCTTTTTTTTCACTAGATCAGAGAGGCTTAAGTCTGGGAGATAGTA